CGTCTTGGTTCGAGTCGACGCTACAGTGCAGCGGCAGCGGGTGTTTCTTCGGCTTTTGTATTCCAGTCGCTCAGGCGGGAGCGCAGCGGCACCATCACGGCCCACTGCAGCCTCACCCTCCTGGGCTCAGGCGATCCTCCAGCCTCGGCCTCCTGAGCTGCTGGGACTGGAGGTGCGCCCCACACCCGACCTGTTTTTTGTTTTCTGTGGCGAGGAGGTCTCGCCGTGTTGCCCAGGCTGCACGCCCAGCCTGCGTCAGGTTGTTCCACTTTGTTCCTCCTCCCCATTTAAAACATCAGGCACAGCGGTTCACACCTTAATTCCGGCACTTCGGAAGGCCAAGGCGAGAGGATTACTTGAGGCCAGGAGTTTGACACCAGCCTGGGCAACATAATGCGATCATTTCTCTACAAAAATATCAAAAAAACTAGCCCGGTATGGTGGCATGCTCTTGTAGTCCCAGCCACCCGGGATGCTGAGGCTGGAAGATTGCCTGAGCCCAGGAGGTCAAGGTTGTGGTGAACCGTGATTGTCCTACCTACACTCCAGCCTGGGCAACAGAGTGGGACTCTGACTAAAAAAGAAAAAGTTTTCATAAGGCCAGATGTGGTGGCTTCCACCTGTAATTCCACTTTGGGAGGCTGAGGCGGGAGGATTGCTTAAGCCAGGAAGTCGAGACAAGCCTGGGCAACATAGCCGACACCATCTCTAAGAAAAACATAAAAATGAGCCGGGCGTGGTGCACGTACCCGGCTACTCAGGAGGCTGAGGCAGGAGAGGAGAGCCTGAGCCCAGGAGGTCGAGGCGGTGGCGAGCCGTCATTATGACACTGCACTCCAGCCTAGGGACAGAGTGAGACCCTGTGTCCCCCCCAAAAAAAGCAACTGCATTCTAAATACAGATCTTGACTGGCACCTGTCATGTGCCACCTGGTGCTGGGAGTTGGGCACATCAGGAACCAAGTGGACCTAGTTCCGGTCCCCACGGAGCCTACAGTCAGAAGGGGTGGCAGGTGGCCCAGCAGCCAAAGGGAGGGGGTCTCAGCAGGGAGCACAGGCGGACGGGCGGCCTCTGAGGGTCCTGCTCGCCCCTCGGGGTCTCCAGGCTCTTCAGATGGTTGAGCTAGTTGCTTCCTTTCTCAGATCCCTGCCTTGGCCCAACCGACATGTCCTCATCTCTCTAGGAGGGGCAGGGGCTAGGCTCGGGGGCAGAGGGCCCTCTGGCTGTCACATCAGACAGGCATGATGGGGCCAAGCCGTGGTGACCGCCACCGGTGGGGTGCTGGGGGGCGCCTTTCCTTTCTAGGCCTCTGAGTGAGGGCGCCCTAAGGGGACAGGCAGACTCAAAGGGGTCTGCTGGGTCTTTAGTCCCTTTTAGGGGCCGGCAGACGTCGTGAACGGGTGACACACGGAGATGCTCTCTCTGGAGCGGAAGCCAGGGCTGTGGGCACACAACCGTGGGCCATGCTCACGCACGAGTCCCAGCCATGTGGCCTCAGGCACGGGGCACCTCCTGCAGTGCCGGCTCCCAGGCCCCGTGTGTCCCGCTATACTCGCCTGGCCCAGCCTCATGCTGCCACCCAGCCACTTCGTGGGCAAAACGGAGGGCCCCGTGCACAAAGCACAGGCACACGGATGCCCAGGCAGCCCCCATCCCAACAGCTCCCAGGCGAGTGGGGAATGCCGGCAAGCCAAGGACGGTGGCGCCGATGCCGTCGGACCCTGCCAGAAAGGGGCGCATCAGCCCTGCCAAGAGGGCGGGCTGGGAGGACGAAGGCCGCGGCTGGCGGACGCCC